AAAAGCGTGTGTTTGATGCCTTAGATGGAAGCAACAAAAGTTATTAGGAAATAAAAATTATAAGAACTATGACTAAAATACAAAACAAGTATTTAAGCATCTTAAAAACTAGGACATTTGCAAATATTCAAGAATACACTATAAAATAGTTTAAGGTCAAATTCCTACTTAAGAACAAAATTACCATATAGAGAAACGAGCAATAAATTTATCTTGCAAAAATACTTTTTAAGTAATTCTAAAAGAAAAAAAGAAATTCTAAAACATTACGCATTCTAAAAACAAGACAATACAATGTTTTGGTCTAGGAATGGAAACTTATTTTATCTAAATAGCTTTCCTTTTTTTACATTCCCTATTAGCCAAGAACACTGAACCATGATATTTCCAGAAAGACCCTGCTCTAATAAAGAGATGAATGCTTATAATCATTTTCATGGAGTCCAAAGAACAATTCAATTTTGAATGAAAAACAAACTCCATCTGTGCAAACACTTAAAGTCAACAAACAGCAAACAACAAAATTATCAGCTGTGTTCTGAGTAACAGAATTTGCATATCCTTACTGCTGTTTTCCATAATCTCAGGAGCCAAGCGAATATAACTGGATAGAGGAAATGCCAGAGACAAACTAAATGACGGAGCTGGAGAGATGGCTCAGCAGTTATGAGTGCTTGTTGCTCTTCCAGAGAAGCCAGCTCCAGAGATGCTACGCACGTGCATTCACACGCACACAACTACACAGAGCCACATGCACACAATTAAAAACAAAGGAAAGCCAAGACTAAGGAAGCCAGGGCAGGCAGATCTCTATGAGGTCAAGGCCACCCTAGTCTACACAGTGAGTTCCAGGACAGGCAGAGCTGCAGAGTTAGATCATGTCTCAAAAAACCAATAATAATGATAATGATAATAATAATTTAAACCCCCAATCAATATTTTGAAGGAAAAAAATTTAAGGAAAAGTACTTAACCAATACTCTAGTCTAATATGCAAAGAACAGTTGCTAGTTGACACAGTTCTTAAGAGACACAGCACGATTACTTACTTTCATTGTTAATGCTACTTGAACTCACTACTCAGTGGAAGATGACCTTGAATTTCCGATCCTCATGCCTTTGCCTCCAGAGTGCTGGTATTACAGACCGTACCACCAAACCCAGCAGCAGAGACTCGGTCTAAATCTTTTGTGAATGGGCTCAAAGACACTGACCTTCTTCTCCCAGAAAAGCGTGTCCACATACAGTTGTGCACCCACTGCTCAGATAGCCTTATACGCAGGTAGTGAAGATTAACTTAAAGAAGTTAGAAGGGAACTTCCTGAGTTAACGTTAAAGTGCTACTTTGGTTTACATAATGAATCTAAAATTAACAAAGCACTTTCACCTCCTAAGCCCATTAGTGTCTATGAGTTAGCTGGGACAGGCCTAGATGGTTACAACTTCTCTTTTACAGTTAAGGAAACTGAGGCAAACTTGGCTAGCATATTCATTCAGGCAGTAATCAGAGGTGGCAGTAAGACGTGACCACTGAGGCCCAAGAAAAGACCATCTTTATTTGAAATAGGACAAGTTAGAAAACAGGACATGGGCTGGAGAGATGGCCCAGTGTTAAGGTGCCCACATTGCCTGATCCTCCAGAGCACCCAGGTTCAATTCCCAGCAAGCACTTGGCAGCTCAACTGTCTGTAACTCCAGTTCCAGGGGATTAGATACCCTCACACATACATGCAGGCAAAACATCAACGCACATAAGATGAAAAATAAAGATAAATAAAATAATTTTAAAAAGCAGGACATTTTTCTATTATATATCTGCATATTTTTATTTTTAAAATATTAATAATAAATTAGAGATATACCTTATAATTATAAGAAAAATTAAGTACAAAGCAAGAGGTCAATTTAAAAAACTTAGCTTTTAATTAAAAAATTTTACCTAAGCAATTGCAGACAATTATCAGTAAAAGCTGACTTGGAGAAAAAATTTTGACTAAGAGTGAGAGGTCTGAGAACAAACAGGGGCAGCAAGCTAGTGAGGCAGCACCATGGTAGAGCACTTGTCTGGCAAACACAAGGCCATGGATGACAGCAAACAAACCCCTGTTATGTGACTATAAACCAAAAGTAAGTCATATGGGACGTCACTGCCAAAAAGGCAAAATCTACATTAATAGATTACTATTAATCTATTATAAATAGATTTAGTAGTTATTATAAATAACGACTAAAAACGTTATTCTGTCAGTATTAACTGAGAAAATTGGGAATTCGTTTATCATTTGTATTTTCACTATTGTAAAGTTTCATATAACATCTGTAATTTATTTCAACATGTAACTACATCCTTGTACTTAACTATGTATCACTGAACTAACAGGGTTACACAGGACAGGACACATTTCTCAGCATAGCAAACTGGCCTGCTTCCCAGTAACAGTAGTGCTATTACATGCTTCCCACATTCCAGGCACTTTCTAAGCCTCTTAGCATGAACTTCCTTCATCTTTCACTATGAAACAGGTACTGCTTTCATCTCACCCTCAAGTGACAGTGTGGAGACCTAATGAAGATAAGTAGGTTTCTAAGGGTAACAACTACACTAAAGCTCATACACTAACAGACTTGTGAATCCCAGGCTACAAACGTCTATTCTAGGGCATCAATTTTAATATTTCAAGCATATTTCATAATTTCTATCCCTTAACCTAACACTATTCACCATTATAATAAAGGTTTTGAAGAACTCAACAATACCTCCAAATCTACTGGGATTAAAATTTACTTATGTTCTTTTTTTTTTTTTTTTTTTTTTTGGTCCAGGCAAGAGGGACAGAGGGAAGGACGGGGGGAGGGGGAGAGGGGAAGGGGAGTACGCAATGTGTGTTGTCATGTTTCTGGAGTACAATATGCGGGGCAGGACAACCCAGACATCACTCTTAAACCACCAGAAAAGACTGTAACAAATGATGCTCACATCAATACATACAAAAAAATCTGTTGATTTTAAGTGAGAATACTTAAGCTCCTTCCAGTTTTCTGAAAGTTCAACTAAACCACAGCAAACCTTTGTTATGTGGGGGTAATGGAAACAACATAGATCTCCAACATATTTAGGTCATTTTGTTCTGTTCTGATCTTCAGTCTAAGTGTAATAAAAACAAAGAAAACCCTAGTAGCACCTTCCTTTGACAAAAAGTATTTTTAACTTACCACATACTAGTGAATTCTTCAACTAAGCTGAGATTAAAAGAGTTTAGTTCATTGTTTTATTATTACTAGTTAATGGATATTTTAAAGATACAAACAAAGAATCTGGAATCTGGAAATACAAAGACTTATAAAGTCATAGAACTGTATAAAGAAGCAAATAATGCTTTCCATGTAACTTTGTAAAATCACCAAACCAAACCAAACAAAAAGGGAAACCCACCTTTGCTGTGGAAAGGAAATGACAGCAAATGTGCAGACATAGATTTTTCCATAGCACATCTTGCATGTATTCTAATAACATTTACATTTTGGCAATGCCATTTATTTCAACAATATTTAGAACACATCATAGCATGTTCGCTCTCAAAATTTATTTTGATAACTTGAAGAATTAAGCTATCTTTTTAAAACTAATGGATTCCTTGACACTGTGGACAGACATACATGTAAGGATTCTCTGAGAAGCCTCTATAGTCCTTCAGATCTGTTATAAAATATATAATGACATCCAAGTTAAGAACTCCAAGAAATTTAATTACTACATAGCGACCAAGTGGAAACAACCATTTCAGACACAATTCATCTCTAATATACAGGTTAGAAGACTACTTTGATAGCTTCTTTAGCACTAAAAATAATTTCTTTACATTCCCATTGGAAGTTAATTTTTGTTAGAACCTTGCCAGAAATATAAAGCAAAATAAAGACAAAAATGAGAACATTTCCACAACCTGACCTTTACAATACTCTAGATAAGTCTGGAATTCTTCTGAGGTAAGTGTGGACATGCTTGGAACTGTCCATCTGAACAGAACATTATTGCAGCAAATGCTATGACCTTTAAGGACACATGCATGCTGACAACAGGAGGCCTCATTCTCTCTCTACCCAGATGAGACTTCATAATTAGCAAAACAGGCAATAATCTTTACCTCCTCTACTTGGGTAGGAGGAAAACAGGAAAAAAGAATACCTCTAAATAAAAGGTCAACACACACTGATAAAATATAATATCGCCTATCCAACTTTGTACAATTCCCCCCAAATCCTGAAATCAATGACTTATTGCTTTACAGAAGCACCATCACCACCACAGGGAATAGCATGCATTTATAAATAGATTAAAAATACTAATGTGCTGGAAGTGGTGGTGCACTCCTTCAACCCCGCACTCAGGGAGGTAGAGGCTAACAGATCTCTGTGAGTTTGAGGCCATTCTGGTCTACATAGTGAGTTCCAGGCCAGCCAGGGCTACATACTGAGCTCCTGTCTAAAAAAAATAAAGAAAGAAAAAAAAAAAAACAAATAACAAAATAATAAAATGCTAATTAATAGAAATTATAAACTCCAACTAATTAACTTTAAGGACAGTGTAAAATTATAGGGAAATGTATTTTTTTTTTTAACGTCTAAAACTTGAATTAAGAGAAAAGCACTGAGACAGAAAAAGAGCTGGCTATCAAAGCACACCACCAGGGCTACAGTAGCATTTGGAAGACTCGTGTGACAGGGTGAGCCATCTGCCTCTGGACGCTCAGCAGCACACGTGGAAGTCATGGCTGTAAGTGGTCTGTCACCCTAATACAGCTGTAATACTGCTGCTTTTGTACAATGTACGAGAACTAATTGATTACAGGCAAAACTAGCTTAGAAAAGGGAGGCAATCCAGAATAAACTGATAGGTGCCCCAGGAGAGCGGACCATCAAAGACCACCACACCCTCACGGATCCTACTAGACCATGATGAACAACAGTGTCAGTCTGCAGTGGACCCCTAGCTTACTCACCTCCAGAGGCTGCATCTTGCTCTTCCCCTTCAGGAAATGCAACCTGGCTTGGCAAACTATTCCTAGACCGAGTAACTGTCTCTAACTGGGAAGCCCGGCCCAACAAGGACAGCTCATCCAGCACCTCTCCCTCTTTGGCCTCAAGATCTGACTTTGAAGTGGTTAAGGGCTTTATACTTTCTGGTGCCAGCAGCCTATTTGAGTCATTCAAACAGGCCACAGTGCCACTGTCCAAGCTCAGCACCCGAGCCCGCGTCTTGGCGCTGTTTGTGCTGGAAGTCCTTCGAGTGGCCCTCTTTTTGGCAGTTCCCTCAGGGTGAGCTCTGTGCGTGTGGTCTGAGTCTGTGCCCCGGTCCTTATGGCCATGTTTGGTCTTGAGGGCACTGTATTTGCCCTCAGGAGACTGGCATGAATGAGAAGTGGCGCTGAAAGAGCTATCACTGCTGAACTGGTGAGCGGAATGAATACTTGGGGCTCTGCTCAGGTCACTCTGATCACTAGAGTCCTCGTCATGACAAAATACAGCGCTGTGCGGCTTGGTTCCAGACACTCCTCGAAAGGAAACGTAGTCCCTGTGGCGACTCGAGTCAAAACTGCTGGCTCGTTTCTTTCCTGTGCGCCGCCTGCCTGGCTTGTGGGTGGATGTCGTCCGGTGGATTAAGCTGGAGGATTTGGGTCGGACGTCTCCTTCCTTCTGCTTCCCACTGTCCTCTTTACAAACTTTGGAGTCTGTGGAAAGGCTGGGCTTCTCACCCGGCTCCTCTTTGCTCTCGGCACTCTGCTCCGGCAGGCTGTCCCCGGGGACGGTGAACTCATTTGCATGGGGGTTTTTATTGGCATCTTCTGATGCAGAGCTGCTGGGGGCAACCTGGTCAGGCTTCTCCTCAGATGCCTGAGCGTCTGGGGCCTCGGGAGGCCCACCAGGTGTACTCCCTTCTGGGGCAGTCGCGTCACTGCTAGTCCTTTGGTCGCCGGCACCGTGGCGCCTCTCCTCCGCTGAGTCAGCACGGCTCTCTTTCTTCCGGGCACTCTTCTTTCTCGCTTTAGGAGACTCCTCATGCTCAGACAGGATGCTCTCGATGTGCGTGGAGCTGGTCTGCTCGCTCTTATAGCTGCTCAGAGTGCTGTTGGTGTCCCTGTCGGTCCCACTGCAGTAGCTCTCGGTGGACCCGCTACTCCGTGTGCTCAGGCTCCTCAGGCTGTCCACGCTTTTTTCTGCGTTCAGTGCTCTGCTCCTCCCACACTTTGTGGGTGGCTGGGAATTACTTTTCTTCAGGTCGCCAGCAGGCTGAAACTCTGCGGGTGGACAGGACTTTTCCACTAAGGACTCTCTGGAGCCCGAGGGCGGCTTAGTCGAGTCTAACTCACTCACCGGGTCCAAGCCCCGTCTCTGCTGGTAAAGAGGAAAGTCATTCAGTGACGTGTCGGGAAACGCCACGGCGGAGCTGGAGGTCCGGGGCACTCCTCGGGGCCGGTGCTCTTTCCTGTACGAGTGTGAATGTAAAGGTACAAGAGAAGCTACTTCTGTGTCACAGGCACTGGAAAGTGACTGGTCAACGTGGTGGTGCTGGCTATGACTTGGCAGGCTCACTTTGTCACTGAAGTCCCTTGGCAAGTCCTGTCCACAAGAGGACAGGGACGGCTGAATAGAAATGAAGGAGTCATTGGAGACCAGGCGGAAGAGCTTGCGATCAGTCGCCAAATCTGTTTCAAACACATTTGAAAATGTTAATACAGATGCTCGCTCAGCCTCGCTAAAGTTTGACAAAAGAGAATTCACAGCATATGGTAGTAAATCAAGTATAAGCAATCCTCAAGCAGTTCACTCAACAAGTTGGCCCAAAGAGCTGTTTTCTGTTTCAAAACTGCACAAAGAAACCATTCTGACCAATGGAATGCACTGAACTTTCAAATCTTTTGTGTTATTCAAAAAGGCTTCAGAGAAAGTTTCTGTATGTGTGTGTGTACGCATGTGGCTGTCTGTCTGTCTGTCCTCCCCTTTTCCTTCCCTCCCTCTCTTTTGGAACAGGGTCTCACTATTGAACCTTGGCTAGTCTTGAACCTCAGATCCTCCTGACTCCGCAGTTTCAAGTGTGCACCACCATAGCCTGCTGCCAGCTCTATTTCTAACCTACTAGTGAGTAGCCCTGGGTTACCATTGTGAGCCTTTGCTTCTTCATCTGAAGGCTGTGGGATCAGCCCCACTAAGTAGCAGGCAGGAATACACACACATAATTGTTTATATCTAATATATTAAAAATATAATATATTAAAAATTAATAGTAACTGTCATTATTTTACCTACGGAAAAACTTTAATTCTTTTAAAAAACAATAGGATTAATTTTACAAATAAATAAAAACCTAGAATGGGGCCTCCAAAATCATTAAGTGGGCAAAGTGCTAGCTGCCCAAGCCTGGCCACCTGAGTGTGATGCCAAGAGCCCGTGTAACGATGGAAGGAGAGACTAGCACCACACGGCTGTCCTCTGGCCTCCACATGAACACCACAACACGTGCATGTCTACACCAAATACACATACAACAGACAATAAATTTAAAAAAAAGTTAAAACCTAGAGTAGGAAGAAACAAGAGAATCAGAGTGCTGGTCAATGCTCAAATGAGACACAACATAATGATGTAAGGAATCTCATGGTTTGTGAACCACCAAATGACAGACACTCACAGGCCCCACTTCTGAGGAGATGTGACATGTGACAGTATCGAGGGGAGGAAAATCAGTTTAGGGGTGCCCTAGAAGGGTACACCATTGAAGGGATCCACTGTAATTACAGGAACAGCGCAAACTGGGTAGGGAGTATGTATGTATACACACATATATTTTAAACCAAGACTCAAAGTTGGGATGAGGTAACAAGGGGCAGGGGATGGATGTGGAAGGAGTTGGGGGAGAAGTGAGAATGTGATCAAAATACATTGTATAGGTGTATGAAACTCTCAAAGAATAAAAATATAATAAACAAAATCATGTGCAGCATGTTAAGTATCAACAAAAAAGTAGCAATAATTACAGGCTAAAATCCTACATTCTCTTTCACCATTGATGAAACAATGATAAGATGCCTCATGAAAAAAATCTTACTCTGTATTATAAAAGCATTCCTTCATCTTCCATTTAAGGTAGGAGCTACTGACTTAAAATAGCATATATACTTCATAAATAGAATTATGTATATACAAATGTCCATCTACCCATACAAAAACTGATTTATAAAATATAAGTTTTGGCAGAAAAGGGATGCCTGGACCTGATGTTAGCTTCACAAAAAGAAAATTATTAATTTGGATATGATGACACATGCCTGTAATCCAAGCACTTAGGAGACTGAGGCAGCAGGATCATGAGTTCAAGGCCAGCCTGGGCTATGAACACAAAAACAACAACAACAAAACATTCCTTAATTATTGTAACCAAGTAGACAAACTATAACTCCGATTCTGTTCACTTGAATCTCAATGGTAAAAGCAGACATTCTCTCCTAAGATTAAAATAAGAATGAAGTTACCACGCACATTTAGGTAATTCAAAAAAATCGAAGTCTGGGGCCAGCAAGGTGGCTTACTGTGAAAGGCTTATCTGAACTGGATCCCCAGAACCTATATAAAGGTGGAAGGAGAGAACAGTTCTACAGAGTCATCTTCTGACCTCCAGAGCATACAGGCGCGCGCGCGCACGCGCGCGCACACACACACACACACACACACACACACACAAACACAAAACGCTCGCACACAAATACACACACAATCTATTAAGAAATGGGACTTTAAAAAATGCTAATGATCAGAGCTAGAAAGATGGTTCAGCAGTTAGAGCACTGGCTGCTCTTTCAGAGGACCAGGGTTCAATTCCCAGCACCCACACAGCAGCTCACAACATCTGTAACTCCAGTTCTAGGGGTCTGATGCACTCTTCTGACCAAGCATGCAAATAATGCAGACACACATGCAGAAAACACACACATACATGTAAAAACAAATTACTTAATAAATACTGAACTCTCTTAAATGTATTAATGCTCACACCCAACTTCCCTTCAAGAACTGTGGAGAGGGCTGGGTGTGCGTGTGCACACACGGAGCCAGGCTGATGGCAAGAGTCTTCCTCAGCTGCTCCCACCTTACTTTTTGAAACAGGGTCTCTCACTGAACATGGAGCTCACTGACTTGGTTAGCCTGGCTAGACAGCAAGCTCCAGCAGTCATGTTTTCTCTCTTTCCCCAAGACTGCGATTACAGGCGTGTACCACACACCTCATGTTTTTACATGGTGCTGGGGACTGAACGAAGGTCCTCTTATTTCCACAGCAAGAACAACCAGAGGCTGTAGGTAGGCTGAAGAAGCAAAGATGGATGGTGGCAGGTGAGGGTTTCTTCTTTGGGGACAAAAATGTTCTGATAACAGTAATATAATCTTGTGTGCGTACTAAAAGGCACTTTAGCTAGAAGGGAGAGTTTTATGGTATGAATACTGTATCATAATAAAAAATAATAGGACACAAAGTTAAACACACACACACACACACACATGAGAATGTTCTCAGTGGCAAAAGTATGAATTACTTTACTCCTCACACTGAAGTGTTCTCCTACGCTAACATCTACCACACTTATATATAAACCAAAAGCATGCCTCTCTCTTGGACAGTCTCTATTAATGACACAACATGCTATTATTTCTCTTAAAATCTATACTCCCTCCCCTGTCTCTCACTTCTTTTGCTAGTTAATGTCTCAGTTCTCTTGTCCTTTGCAAGAATTTATTGAAAGAGTCGTTGATAGTCACAGGAGTTAATTTTTCTCTTCTAATTCTCTTAAGCAGTTCTTTGGGGGTTTTGTTCGCTTGTGTTTTGTTGTATGGTGCTGGAGACTGAGCTGATGGCCTTGCCACACGCACATGCTAGGCAAGCACTCTAGCACTGAGTCACATTCCCAGTTTTAACAGTTCTAATGCTACTCCTTGGAATGACCTATCAAGGTAAGCGGTACCTTCACTGTCATATGTAATGGCCAAGTCACGTCCTCAAGTTCCTTGATTCAGCAGCAGCGCTGACAGAGGGATAAACCTTTTCCACTCACGCTGGCATCCAGCAGGCTCAGTGCTGCTTCTGACTCATCAGCTGCTTCTATTCAGTCTAAACATCTTCAAAGCTACTGGCTCAGGGCAGTGCCTGAGGTTTTTCAGTTTTCTTTGTTCCCTTCCTCTTTGTAGATCTCTCCCAGTTTTCTGGTACCAGGATGAACATTCAGAAACATCTGGGACTACTGTCTCCATATTCTGTCAGCCCTGTATGTGCCTGGGGGTGAGCTATAATTCTGATCCTAGACAGGGAAGACATGAGTGCGACAAAGCAGGCAAACTGGAAAAATCTCCTAGGAAGTGAAGGCTCAGGCTGTACTCCACATTCTTGGTTCTATTAATAATCTGTAATCTTAGGACAAAAAGAGTATCAACTGAACCAAATGCTGTCCAACCAACCACCTGAACCCAAGCCAGTCCTAAATAGTTTCAGCAGCTCACACAATTGCCACTAGGTGGCGACAAACCACAGCCAGGACCATGTACGCCAGCTAACCTCGCAAAACTGTTAGCTTACCAACTACAGAAAAACCCAACTCAGTGTGTGCTTTTGCACTTTGTTTTGTTTTGCCTTGACTGATGGATTGACTGACTGAGGATCTCACTCTATGGTGGGGGCTGGCTTGGAACCCTGCTTCTCAAGGTTGGCCTTGAATTCATGGCAATCCTCCTGTCTCACCATCCAAAGTTATAGGTATGAGCCACTGTGCCCAGCTATAACCCTGTATTTGATCTGTTGGTTAGATGTCTGAGATATTTAACCTGACTTCTCTCTCCTCATGGCTGCTTTGAGGGCCCAAAGAATCACGTAGTAAATATGCCCCAAACTGAACTTCCCATCCTGTCCCTTCATGCTCTCCTATCTTTGAATTTAGAACACTCCCTTCATTTAAGGGACATCTCATCTTCCCTGTTGTCCAACCCATAATAGCCTGAGAATCACCCACAAGTACTACAAAATCTTATATAATAATACTAAAATCCACCAACATAGCGCGCGTGCGCGCACACACACACACACACAGAAAGAGAGAGAGAGTGAGAGAGACAGAGACAGAGAATGTGAACCGGACCACTTGTGATGCTTCCAAGGATCCTCTACGTGACCTCGCAACTTGAGCGTCCACCCCTCTGACAGTCTCAAAATCACAGGCACAGTGGCCGTTCACCTTCCTGGGAATTAAAGCAAGTGTCTTTGAAAATGACCCCTGAGACTTTCCACAGCCCCACCGCCTACACACGTTTATTACACCAGCCATGTTGCTCTTCAAACCTGACAGGCATGTTCCTACTTTACATCTCTTGCATTTGCTGTCACCCTTGCAGAGAAGGGGCTCCTGCCCTCAGCTTCTCTTTCTTAAGGCTTTGCTGTAGGGAAAGAAAAAGAAAACCCACTCTCTTTCAGATCACTATCTCCCTAGCCCCACCACTTACTAATTGCCATCTCTGTTCACTCTTATAACTGACTCACAGTAACACAACCCCATCCTGAGACCATGAAAGCCATAAGAGTACAAACTGTCTGTTCACTGACTAAGTTCCAATATTCAAACAGTGCCTGTACATAATCAGAACATGAAAATATCTGTTAGATGCACAAAAAATATGGTATGTTGTGTGATAAAAGCAAGTTATAAAACTGTTTGAGGGACCAGAGATGGCTTCTCCATTAGCAGTGCTTGCTACTCTTGCAGAGGACCTGAGTTCACGCGCACACTATTTTTTTAAAAACTATTTTAAAGTAGTAGAGTAGTCCGAATTTAGCGGTGACTGAGGCGAGTTTCCTCTCACTCCTCTTTACGCCACAACATGCTAATGTGTAAAGGAAAAGCAGCAACAGTGTTGACTTCAAACATGTTAAGTGACAAGCGAGTAAGTGCAAATGAAGAGAACCAGCTGAAGGCTGAGACAAACCAAGGATCACGGAACAAAGCCTGGCGGTATCTGTGAAGAGGTGTCAGTGTGGTACGACCCTGTCTACTCACAGACAGCTTAGGAACCTTCCCTCGGTGCAGGCTGGTACTGAGATATCGTATGGCCTGCAAAGCTACCTTGGCCTTTGCAAAACAAGCACGTGGACCCTACCTAGACAACAGTCTGTGCCATGTGAATCCTGGTATCATTATCTATGCTACTCTGGACCTGCTACAGTGGTAGTGTGTGTGTGTATCAAGCTCAACCTGCCAGATTATCATAAAAAACAAACTAAAACCCTTGCCTAGTGTGCTTTCTAGATATAAGGTAAGATAATGAGATAAATGACTCCCAAATACAGACAGGCTCAGCCCTCTAAGACTACAACCTCATTGTCCAGACATTACAATGGTACAGATTGTAGAAATGGGTACTGTAATATGCAAAGTAATCATTTTCCTTTACATAAAAGAAAAAGAAACCCATACCATCACAATGTTTAGAGGCCTGAGGTGGGGGAGGAGGCTCAAAAGCAAATTAACAATGACAACATATTGCAATTCTGAAAGACAAGAGAGCTACAATGGTAAACAACAAAACATGCCTATAAGAAACAAAGTTTGGTGGGAGTGGGAGTGGAAGAGGGTAGCACGCCTTTAATCCTGGCGCTCAGGAGGCAGAGTAAGGTGACTCTCTATGAGCTTAGGGAAACCTTGGTCTACATAGGAAGTTCCAGACGAGCCAACGCTGTACATTGAGAGCCTACCTTTCTCAAAGAGAAGAGGAGAAAAAGAGAAATGGAACTGGATAAAACATCAAGCTGATGGGCAACTAAAGGACAGCAGATACTCATGTGCCTCTCACACACTGGGGAACACGTTCATAACATTTCTTTCTCTGCTTACCCTAACTTAACTCAGTATGCTGCATTACTACTGTTCTAGAAATTTATTTTATTGTTTCCTAAAAATCACCATGTTAGAGCCAGGCATGGTGGCTGATGCCTGTAATCCCAGCACTTAAGGAAGCAGAGGCAGGAGGATCACCCAAGATTTTGAGGCCAGTCTGAGCTACATAGTGAGTTACAGGTCAGCCAGGGCTATAGAGCAACAGACTGTGTAGAAAGTTAGTAAACAAACAAACAAACAATTCTGTTAAATGTGAGCACAAGTTCAAGGCACGACGTCACTGTAGAGCACTCCTTACCTTGCTCTTCACTTCCTTCTTTACAAAGACTAGAGCTCTGGCCCAGACTTAAACTTATATCATCGGAAGTCTTAGCAGTGTCCGTATCTCCTACAAGGTACACAAACACATGAGGACATGACACTGAAGAAAAGGCACAGCAAAGAAGGGGCACAGAGCCTGGGACCTCTATCAACCACAGCAGTGCCTGCACACGAGGAGCCCAGGTGTGGAGAGGGCACTGAACTAACGACAGCGGACCACAGGGGAGTATAACACAACACAGTATCACCACACGATACAAGCAATGTGGGAGAGTTTGCGTTAGCTTCTTTAAAGACAGATTCTAAAAGGAAATGCCACTTATTTTATTACAAACCTGAAATGAGGGGAATTTCTTTCCCCAGGAAGGGCAGAAACTACAACACTGAAGAGCAAAACTATGATTATTTTAGGTAAATATGCAGAAAGAGAAAAAAAATTCTCTTTTAATGTTTCAATTACGCTCACATTTTAAAAATTTCACAGCAAATTAATTTTTCACAAGTTGTACCCATACTTAGGAAAGCAAGTCCACTTATGCCAAAAGGTTTCTGTAAATCGGAACTTGTAAAAATACAAAATGTTCAAATATTTTAGTAATACTTAGATGATGAAAGGAATAATAATTTAAATCAGGCAATTTAATAAGATCATGTTATACCTAGATGTATTTAAGAAATTCTTTCATTATATTAGAATGCTGCCTTTATCACAATGAGAGAGAAATGGACAGTCAGTCAGTGCTCAGTTAGGCCATGTCTACCTTTAATAGTTGCTGCTGTTCCAAGTCGAGAGGATCCAGATCCAATCTGAGAGCAAGGCAAGAAGGAAATAAAACTAATTAACACACCAGCTACAAGTTACCACCAAGTCAAAGCATCACAACTATCAAAAGTATCTTCTGCGGCATGCTTTCAGTCACTTTCATCGATATTTAGATACCTGTTGGGCACAGCCGACCAGAGGCACACAGCTGAGGAGCCCAGTGAATGCTCAGGACTGATGCAGTCCCTGGGGCCAAACACCTGTCACCGCCAGCAAATTGCACCATATAGTTACTACAATTTTTTACATTACATCATGGCATGTTTGTGTTATAAAGCAAAGCAAAGCCACACACTGAGTCTGTGGAAAATAAACTGAAGGCTTCTTAAGGCACGTAACAACAAAGTTTGAGGGGACAAAATATACTGATATGACACAGAGAACAACATAAGTTCTTACTGTTCTTAGTTCTAAGATATGAACTTTTTTTTTTTTATTGCTGGCTAGAATTTAAAAATATATATATATATAAAAGTAATAAAAATCTAGCCATCACAAAAAATAAACTCTTCACACAAACTGTAATTGTAACTGATGAGCTTTTAATATTTATATTCAAGATAGCCTAACGTTTTCCTAAATGTTACAAACATTATTTGTACAACCACATAAGCAAATAACACAAATTTCACAAACAGAGAACAAAAACAATATAGCATGACTCTGTCAACTGGGCCAGCAAGCTGCAGCAGCTCTTCCAATAAGTTCATTTCAATGCACTCAAAGAAGACAGTTTCCCACATTTAGCATTGTAAGTAAAACTTGAATCATACAATACTTACTTTACTCAAACCCTCCCTTTCACTGAATCACTGTAGCCACAGCATTCAAGAAACAAGCTTGGAAGACAGGTGAATGCACTGGCAGAGCAGGACGAACTTAGTTTTAAGCTGGAAGGCCATCAACTACTGTCTCGAAAGTAAAGACTCAGTGAGCTAGACTGGAGCTGGATGCTGTGACGTGTGAATAACTTGTCAGAGCAAAAGTGGGTAAGAGTAAGCATACAAACACCAATAAAAACGAAGCGTTGCCGGGCTGGCAAGAACACTGTCAGAAGAGTACTTGCTGTGCAAGCAGGGGGCTCTGACTGTGGACCTGTGTAAAACAGTGGCGGCCTCTGCAAGCCCACCACGAGGTAGGTGGAGAAAGGCAGATCTCTGGAACTCAGCATGTACACCCCCCCCCCCATGTACACACATGCATGGACATGCTCACAACACACAGAATGCACGCACGCTAAGCTTTGCAATATTCTGGGGCAGTTTGTAAGCTTGATTTGCTCAGGATTTCTTAACATCTGCTTTAAATACACCATCAGGCACTGTACTGCTCCTGAAAGGAAACAGTCACAAGGCCTGGTGTTTCCAGCCCCTGATTTCAGCACATGGGAGGCTGGAGTGGGATGACGTCAAGTCTGAGGCCAGCCTGGCTTTACTGTGAGAAACTATTTCCAAAATTAAAAAAAAAAAAAAAGGAATATAAATAAGTAAATAAGCCCCTTATTTTTTTTACAGCAAAACAAAGTTCCATTCGCCTACTAAACAGCTAGACAAGTTACAGGGAAAATATTATTTGTCTACTAAAGATGCAAACACACAGTAACTTTGTAGATCAAACTGTAAACAAGCAAACACAAACACCATTTAATGTATATTCTCCTGGGAATTTAAACTTACAGAACAGTCTCAAATATGAATGCTAGTTATTTGTTCACTGTCCTCAAATGTTGCCCAGGTGTGGCCCATGTCTTTGGATATGTGAGAAGTGGGCCCTGGCCCCATCTAGAAGGGGCCATAGGATGTCGTTCTGATGACTGAATGTAAGGAAAAAGTCCCCCTCCCCCCACTTACTTCCTAACTCCTGCCACAGCAACACAGCTCCAGCTGTGCTCTCCCCAGGGGCTCATGGACAAGCCTAGAGAACAGACATGGCGGTCAGTACACAGCCACCAGCAGACTCACAGCAAACACCAACCCCACTCCTCTAACCCCTCTTAGGTGAGCAATCACCTGTCTACTGAAAACAGGTCTTCTGTTTGTTTCGTTTTCTGATGAAAGAGGTCTTAATGGACACCACGGATATTGATTCTTAATGCTTATCTCTATCAAGCCCCTCTCCAAAATCAAAGAATCATAACTATTTGTATACAACAGATAATAATATGAACTACAGAAATGTCACTGCAGAAGAGCTCATGACATTGACATTTTTGACACAACCAACAGAGAGAATGCACTGTGACTCCACTATCTTTAAAAGTTCTTATTATGTACGATATCACGAAAGATTTTAATTTTATTCTTTAACCCTTGTTTATAAATTTTGAAACAGTGAAAAGAAGAAAAAATTGTTGGTATCTCCTATACTTAGAAGTGAAGCTTCTCATTTAAGTGGCTTATATAAATAGTCCTGTGTTTGTTTCCTATGGTGAGCAAAGACCCAGCAAGGACTGAGGACATCAGACAAGGCCACATCCTACATGGAGCCTTGCCCTTCTCTCCAGCTGCAATTAACTAGTCTTCCTCTGAAGCCAGCCCCCTTCTGCGCCACTCTAACGGCAATTATGGCTCTGTAAAGGGTTTTGTACTAGTTCCTCAGTAACAGGCCACAGGACCATGGGTTACTCTGGTCACAGTCTCTCTGGCAGTGAGACCAAGTCACCATCCTAGACCCAATATTTACCTTGAATATTTACAAGCACTAAATTATTTGAAAGAAGGCAAGAGACTGACAGAAGGGGGAAGCAGGGGCCGGGGTGGGGGGTCTGAGGGGAAAGGATTAAGCAGAAGCCAGCAAGGATGGGAAGGGGCAGGCTAGAGGAGTACAGGAAAGATATGGTGGCTCCACCCGGACACGGTCATCACTGGGTAGAGAAGACAGCCTGTAAACAACTGTGACAACATGTATGACAGCTACGCAACAAATAACAGACACGTGTCTGTATATATCAGCTGTGTGCGTGAATATTACTAATGCCTTAAATCATCTTCTTCACTTTAGCTCCCCTCAAAGACAAAAATAATTACGTCAAAGCCATTACACATTATAAACAGTAAAAAAACACCAATAAGGAAAAATTAGCTTAAAATGTTCCCTGGTTTTAATGAAAGAATTACTACTATGCCTATGTTATGTGTGTAGATGCACACATGCTTTAATTATGTTATGTAAAACAAGTAGAGATAGATCAACCAAAATGACACCATGGGCAGGTTTCCAAAGGTGACTGGTCCCTGATATGTCCTTTGATCTGTCCTTCTGAAATTAATCATCACCACCACCATCATCATCATATCAAGACTGGCTTTCCAAACACTACGGGAAATGCATGATAACAGCCAGAGTTACCCTGTTGCCTGCATTTGTAACTGGGCCAGGGAAAGCCAGGAATACAAATGCTTGCTGTGATTACTGATTCAGTTGTTCATTCTATGAAGAGAAACTGAGGAAAGCATGAAGACAACCAAAAGAAAAAGAAGCTGGGAAGCAGAACTTCAGTATAAACAGATACTGTGCAATCTGAAACTTTCAAGTACCACTCTACTTACCATGGAAACGTTGCCTTTTTGTCTGGATTTTTTTTTTTTAAATTACCCCATTCCATGGAGGATAGAAAGAGCTTAACTTTAACACCCTCTTTGTTTTAAAACGCACAATGATTTCACAATAAAAACTGTTACTAAGAACTTAACCTTGGAGCAAATCGATGAACACGTATTAGGAAACAGAACCCTGCTCGAGATTCTGGTCCACAGACTGGTGTTTCTATAATACTGTTCTGCATGTTCAGCATCCAGAGAACCAGGCAGCTACTGTCAAGTGAGGGGCCAAGTTCAACTCTATCTGTAAAGCTTCATAATCTATACACATAAAGGTAATTAGCAACCCCAAACTGATAGTTAGCTGTGCACAAGGCAGGCTGCCGCAGAATGAGAGAACAAAGTCTTCAGTGCAGGCTTATAACGTGCCACATACAATACAGCAGAAAGTATGCTGCAATAAATATAAGCACTCCTCTACAAAAGGGCCAACACCATCAGGTCTGAAAATACTAGGCATTTGGATTCAAGAAGAGTTAAAGTAGGATAGGAATCAAGAACTAAGTTTCTCTCTGAGGTGTACGAGGTAAGAAGAGCATTTTCAACCCCAAGCTATGAATGTGATAAAAGGAACCACGTACGTGACAACAGGAATGCTGGAATGGGATTAGGCAGTGAGTTCACTGCTAGACCCTGATGGAAATCAGCTGTTTCCTCTCCATAATGGAAGGACTGACACAGTGACCACAAAACCCCAATTACATAAAGTCCTATTGTGAGACATTTCTTTCAAAGTTTACCTCACTCCAGTTATCTGCTGAGAAAGCAAGAGGGAAAGAACTGCCCAGAACCTGGTGTGGTGCAGCACACTGAAGTTCAGGACAGGCGAGAGTGGAGGAGCAGAGCTGAGGTTACACATACAACAGGCCACAGCCTTGTCAAAGGAAACACTCTCAGTTACATTCCAAGAATAAAAGTTGCACCACAGAAATACACTACAACTGTCAGAAGTAGGTTTATATCCACTTCTACCGTGACCATTATTTTTACTTTTTAACCATGCAGACATCACTGTTTCCAATATGGACTAAGAAAAGTAAAGAGGATGCAGCAGGTAAGCTGGAATCCCTACAGCATTCATGATTGCTTCATCAAAGGTAAGTGTAGGCAGAGTATGTAGTACACATCCAGCAAACATGTATTAGCAATGTGAAAGTTAGTGAGAAATAACAATTAGGGCTGCAGAGATGGCTCAGGAGGGTCCTCTGCTCTTCCAGAGTTAGGGTAAAAGGGCTAGGGAAAGAATACCCTGACTTGACCCCCAAGACCGAGCCCAGGGCCAAAAAACAAGAATCCCACCAACCCCTGAGCTTACCAAAGAATTCTACCAATCCCTGAGCAGAAATCCCACCAATCCCTGAGCTCACCCCAAGCTCAGGCCTTGAAGTTCCACCAATCCTCCACCAGAAATCTCCACCCTGGAAAGCTCTACCCCCAAGAAACCTCTATAAACTCTGCCTTCTGTTCAGTTCCCTGCTGCATCTCACGTGAGCAGTGGCAGCCACCCTCCTGGGTTTCCTCCCCACACCCAATAAATCTCTTGTGTGAGGTTTGTTGTATGGTGTGACTTTGTGATCTTCCTTGGCTCCCAACGGCCAGGATGCAGAGCAGAGACGCAACTTTCTCTGAAGCAGAGCTGTAATACTTCTGTAGGGGAAGCCTTTCCCTTCAGAGCTACAATACTTAATACAGAAGACCTGGGTTTGATTCCCAGCACCACACTGTGACACACAACCATCTGTAACTCCAGTTTTGGGAGATCTGATACCCTCTTCTCTCTCATCTCTATGGGTACCAGGCACATGCATGGTACAGAAACCCATACAAGTCAAATTAATAATTAAATTAAAAATAATAACAAATAAGGATGGCATAGATCCATTAAAAATGACCATCAGAGAGAGAGAGAGCGCGCACCATGAACTCATGGCTCTAAGTATGAGAACGGCTGACACTACCACCAGGAAGAAGAGAATCAGGCACAACATAGGAGCACAATCCTACCTGGTTGCTTGGGTCTAACCCAGCATAAGAATTTCTTGAACTGCAACCGACAGGAGGTGTGGCCTCTCGAATAAATTCTGACATCTCAATCCCTCCACCAGGATCGCTGTAGGAAAATGAGAAAAAGAGAGCAACCGTCATCAACTGTCACTGATCATCTCCTTTGTTTGAGGTTCTAGCTTGTTCTCTATAAAACCAGGAGGTCTTTTTTGTTGTTGTTGTTTTGTTTTTGCGACAGGGTCTCTAAATAGTTCTGTCTATCCTAGAAGATACTAAGTAGACCAGGCTAGCCACAAACTCAGAGATCCACCTGTCTCTGCCTCTCAAGTGCTGAGATTAAAGGGGTGCAACACTATTCCAACAGATGTCCTGCTTTTTCAAAGAGTAAAATAAGTTAATGAAGACTTTTTGTAAGTCTGAAGGTTGGAATTATATAACCACATCACTGTTTGTAGGTGCGCAAAACTCCTATCTCACACTGTCTACATAAAACCCATTGAGAAATTGGCCTTAATTATAAAAAGTAAATAATTGATGACACATGCCATAAAACCATTCTTGCACTGAAGTTATCGCCGTTTGTTTCCCAAGAGTAAGAGGCCAATTGAAAGCAATCAGATATCACGTTAGCTGATGTCTCTAGGAGATACGTCTCACTAATTGTGTGACACAAAGACAAACATACCAGAAGACTCATCCTGGGTGAGCTGTTTTCAGCTCTACTGTAAGCAAAGTGACCTCACCTAGAATATTAAGTGCTGTAAAGAACTAAAATCCTGTGATTTTAGATGTTTGTTGCTGGGCATAGTGGCACATGCCTTTGAAGTCAGGCAGATGCAGGTGATCATTGTGAATTAGAGGCCAATCTGGTCTACACAGTGAATTTTAGGACAGCCAGGGCTATGCAAAGACTGCCTCAAAAAAATAAAAACAAAGATCTGTTTGCTAAGCTAGAAGCCTGACTATAAAAAGTGATGTCATATAGTAATAACAGGTCTTAGAAAATCAAAGGGCAAGGTATTAGGCTCAAAGAGCTAATGGTACCCACATACACTACTTAGAAATAACAGTAAAAATTAGAGAAAAACCTAACAAATTTCAAAATCTGAAAGTGTTATATGTTTCCTCAGGAACACAAACGTAAAATAACTAATAATCCTATTTACTATCAGAAACTGTTTACTTGTTCTAGCTTACACTCTTGCTACCCACTATCTAACTCAATCCAAAAAAGCACCCCCCAAATTTTTCCGATGATCTAATCACCTCACCCGCAAACTCCCACAAGGTTTAGATTTTGCTAACTCCAATACATGGGTCTCTACCTGCTAAAGACACAATCAACACAGCCCAGTTCTGGCCACTGAGACCAGTTCTAGAGAAAGCTCACTAGTCCATTTCCTACTAGTATAGATCAGGCCAGGAGTGTTCCATGACTGAAATACATTTCTCTGTACCTGCTTATTGTTTTAATCTTAATTTTGTGTGTGTGAAGGCTACCTGTATACATGTATGTGCACGATGTATGTGCCTGGTGGCTGCAGAGACCAGAAAAAGACCCTGTATCACCTAGATCTGGAGGGACAGGTGGTTGTGAGCGGCCATGTGGATGCTGGGAACCAAACCCAGGCCCTCTGAAAGAGCAGCCAGTGGTCTTAGCTGCTGAGCCATCTTTCCAGCCCACATATGTGGTAGTCTTGATGCTCTGACTGTAAAGCCTAGAGCTACTACAGAGACTAAGTGAGGCCAGGATAGCAACGGTCACCTTTATCCTCAGCACTCGGGCAGGCCTATCTCTGTGAGTCCAAGACCAGCCTGGTTTACATTCCAACTTCTAGGCCAGCCAAAGCTGCATAGCAAGACCCCAAATCACGTTAAAAACAAGCAGCAGCAACAGCTGACTGAAAGAAAAGGTTAGAACCTGGCTATAAGAAGGGAAGCAGTGTGTGAGGTGCTTCATCCTGACCTACCTAAGACAGCCCCACATGCACACTTTGTACTACTGTGAGACATAAATCCCCTTAAGTGTGTCCGGATGAGCTGCTCTGCTATAATCAAAAGGGAATTCACCTGCAAGCATAGCTTTAGAACTATTTACTACAGCAGCAGTTTGGTTTATAGTCTTTCTATTACTAAAGGTCTCAGAACTATAATGTTCCTGGTTTGCTTAATGGGGTTAGGCCATTAGGAACTAACCTTCTAACTTGCTATACATCTACATAAATACAGCATCATAGAAACTAGTTACCCGATACCCTACGTGAGGAGAGGGGGTGTGTTCCAGTTTGTTAGCTGTTCAGCATTAACTCATACCAGCCAAACAGGCTACACCAAGAACTTAAAGAGTATATAATGTGGCAGCTATCACTATACTGAGTCTGTGATGAGAAACACGCAGCAATGCTACTAGAATGGACCCTCTCAGTCAGATCCACAGGCCAAAAAATACTCAAATGTATGAATAGACATTTGTTTATTCAGTCAGAGGCAAGGCAAGACAATTTTGTTCACTTTTTTCCTTTTTGTTTTTGTTTGTTTGTTTATTTGTTTGTTTTGAGACAGTTTTTCTTCGGAGCCTTGGCTGTCCTGGACTCACTTTGCAGACCAGCCTGGCCTCAAACCCACAGACATCTGCCTGCTTCTGCCTCTCCAAGTGCTGGGATACAGACATGCACTACTGCACCAGGATTTGTTCACTTTCATACACTTTTTCTGATAAACAAACAAACAAATAAGTAAATCCAAGTGGTCATAATCTAAACAATTATATCCCAGCCTTGTATTTATTTTGTACTTTTTGATGAGATCTTCCCTAAAATTTGTAAATGCTACTATTCTTGTTTTACAGATTAAAAAAATATATATATTAGAAGAGGTAAGCTCTAGCAAGAGGTTTCCAAGTAACTGTTGACATAAGGAGTTAGTGTGTGAATGAATCTGCTTTTATTTGCCTACGCTTGATGCAGGAATGTTTGCATACAAGGTCTGCAAAACTTAGAACCATGCACGTTCTTTCTAAAAAGCTGCACTGTCCTTCAACAATAGACACTTAAGTTCCTTCTGGCCCAACTGCCAGTTATTTACCATTACTTAGAGCATGTTTCTTCACTGTGTCCCTGCCAACACCTGGGCATCGGTAACTTATGACTGTGGGGACTGGCCTGTGCACAATGGCTGGCAGCATCTCTGAGCCTTACTTCCCTACAACTGGTGCCAGCAGCACAGTTGTGAAAACTGGAAAGTCTCCTAGAATTGCCAGATGCCCAGGGGCCAGAATCACTCTAGGATGAGAGACAAGGATTTAGAATGAACGCTGGTCCCTTGTTAACACAGAGGGATAAGAAAGTTATTCAAGAAACACCGAAGGGACAAAACTGAAAAGAAAACCTTTATTTTAGAGAATAAATGTTTCTAATAAAATGTGTATCATTCTCTCATCTCTACAACCCTAGGTACAGCTTAACACACAAATTGCTTTTCTTATTAGCGAGACTTGCCAGGTTTAGCAACAGAGAGCTCAACACACTCCTGTCAAGTACAGCAGTTTACAATTCTTCTAGAAGCAAAGTAGTTTACTGCAGTAAGCAATAAACCAAATTCAGGAAACCTCTACCTTATGCCTTAATTTCCCCATCTGTTAAACAACAAGTACAGGTGGAGGCAGAGAAGAAGTTGTCTAACAAGATTTACAGAGACCTCACAAACGAGGTTTTAGATCATCAGTGTCATATAAACTACTGATGCTCAGGCTTTGGTCAAAAGCACCACAACCCCCTTATAACACTAAGTTTACAATTGTAATCTAGATTATAATGATGCTCGTAAGCACAGGAACAGATAAAAGCAATGTTCCGAAGCAGAGTAGACCTCGCTCAGAAACCTTAGCCCAAAATCCAGCTTCATGTAGATTAAATGAAGCTTTGGCTGGTTTCTAGTATTAACAAGCATTACTGCCATGAAAAACAGAATATGCAGTCTGTCTCTAGCATACTAGCACCCAAATCCTTAAACTTAATGCACCAACTTCCTCTTACAAAGTTTTTAAAATGTAATACAAACATTAAAGATTCAAAGTATTTTCAAACTGCTGTATCACATGAGAGGAACTATAAACATTAAAGATTCTAAGTATTTTCGAACTGCTGTATCACATGAGAGGAACTGAGAAGCCATGAGGCTCCGGTGTCATTCACTCATGTAGTAAACTGAGTGTCCCACGGTATCAAGCACAGTGGCTGGCTCTAGAGAGAAACTGTGCAGTCCTAATTGTTTCCTTCCCTCAGAACACAATGTGAGACTCACAAGTGGGAGAGTCAAGAAAGGAGATGCAAAACCAAAAGCCCACAGCAGGAATCTCAACATCAAATTTTAAAAAGAAGAAGAATCCTCAAAAACACTAAAAATAAATCTACTCTGTGATCCAACTATACAGTTCCTTGAATATAACCAAAGGAGTCGACACACTACTCCACAGGTCCTTGCTCAGCGATGTTCACTGCTGTTCCTATCACAATAGCAGCTGGGAGATGGAACACTCCAAATGTCCTTCATTGTGAAAAATGGAATAGGTTTCAACTATAAAAAATGAAATTATGAGATCTGAAGTAAATGGATGGACCTAGAAAAGCTTATATTGAATGAGAGAACTCTGACCCAGGAGGACAAACACTGCATGTTCTCTTTCATCTGTGGTTCCTAGCTCCAACTCTTCAGGTGTGAGTATAGTTACCAACACCCCTGATCGAAGAGGTTTCTCTTTATAGAAAAACAGAAACCATAACAAAAAACCACAACTGAACACAATGCAGAGATCAACTGATCCTGGCAGCCCATCCTCAATGGATTCATCGACACCCCTACTCCTGCATCTATGGTGCAGGGAACGTCAAGGAAGGGGAGCAGAGCCATAGTTAGAATACCAGTATGTCAGTTGTGAAACAGTCCATTAGAAATGGCTGCTTAAACAAGACCTGAACAATGGCAATATCAATAAACATGCTGACACGGAAGGGGAAATTTCATGGGGGCCCACCCACCCACAGAGAAAGAACTACAGGCAACTAAGGACTGCTGGGAGAAAGAAAATTAGCCGTTCCCAAGGACTGC